TTTTTTTAATTATTATTTATCTGCACGTTTCCAAAGCAGTTCAGTCAGTTCAGTTGAACTGGCTGGAAGATGCTATTTTATTTTTCAGACTGAGGATAGGAAACAGGAGAGGTCTCTGATTTATGGCTGCTAGACTTTCCTATCTCTTCAGCCGTATTCCATGTCAACMATTCAGGAAAAGGCAATTCCGGGCAGCACCAAGAAAACATTACTGTGTTTGCTGCATGCAACTGTAGGGAAAAACAGGATGTTTTGAAGCACACTTAGACAGCATGTTTGGCGAAAATAAACATATACACTATAAAACTGCATATAACAAGATTTCCAAAGTTTTGTTGTGAACAGGTAACTGTGGTGATGACGTCTCCTCATAGTGAAGAAAAGTAACTATTTTATCTCTGAAAGCAAAACAACAAATTAGTCTTTTTTTCTTTTTTTTTTCTTTTTACTTTTTCTTTCTGTAACTAAGTTTTTATGTTTATATTTGACTGGACTCCCTGTTAATGGGTGTATTCAGAAAATAGCTTGCCAGAACAGACCATTTGAGCTTCTGTTGTATTCGTGGCACCATCGTGTAGCTCTGTTTTTTAACAAGGATTTTCAGACTTCATGTGTTGGCAGTAAAAGCATAAATGTTAGACTGGAAAATGCATTCAGCAGTGCTTTTGGTAAAACTGTAGGTAAGAGCTGTAAATTTTACATACTATTAAACTTAGAAATGCAATAAAATACTTTCTTGCATTTAGTTTCTTAATTGTAGATAAATTGATGGATAAGAACTTATGCACTGATAGAGTAATTTGGGAAGAAGCCCTTTTAGCTGTTGAGGATACCCATCTTTTAACTTCGTTAAGCTCTCCTTTGTGTGCCTGTATGATGTGATCTGCAGGAGAGTTGGAGGCTTCAGTGACAACTTCGACTTGATTTGAGTGAAAGGGAAGGTTATTTGATTACTGCAGGTTTGTGAAAATTCCTGGCATAAACAGAATTTCTTAATGAACAAATGAGTCTCCTGCCAGAGAAGTCTCGAGTAAGCAACTCTCGTGGATCTCTCATAGATATTGTGCAACAGATGCACGAGTATGTAAACATATTGCCATACTTTGCTGACTAAACTTAATTATGTCCAAATGAAAGCTTGCTTGTTTATTTTTCTTCATACGAGACCATATGAATCTGGAGGAGTCTGCCTTTTGAATGTGTGTGCAAATTAAATAGCTTGATATTGTCAGTCATACACTCATCCTGGCTATAATAATTTTCCAGATCAGAGCTGCAGAAGTATTTTGTACTTAACTGTCTCTGTTACGAATGTCACAGCAGATGCAAACTTGAGAATTAATAAGGCATATATATGTGCCATACATCTACTACTTGAACCTTAATCTGCAGTACCCCAAATAGACGTTTAATGATGAATGCTTCTCATATAGGCAGTGATTTATAGTGGGTAAACTCTTGGGTTGGGAGTTAACACTCCCACTCCAGTCCCTGCCAACAAGAAAAATCCTGTGTCCATTTCCTTCATTATCCTAATAAGTGAGTTTGTCCAAGTCCCTTTCTGCTGTTTTTCCCTTTTGAGAAGCATACAATTCACAAATTAGGGAAATTGCCCTTATAGGGGAAGTGTATCATTTTTTCATTGGTCTGCCTTTTGATACATGCGTTGCTTTGAAGCTGTATATTACCACGTGTCTGAATTATATCTCATGTGTTTTGKTTTTTTTTTCCATTAGTGGACTATATTGTGGAGTATGACTATGATGCAGTGCATGACGATGAGTTAACGATTCGAGTTGGGGAAATCATCAGGAATGTGAAAAAATTAGAAGAAGAAGGATGGCTAGAAGGGGAGCTAAATGGCAGAAGGGGCATGTTCCCTGACAACTTTGTGAAGGTGAGTTCTTCATTGATTTGTTCTTACTGTAATCAAATAGTAGGTTATTGAAATAGCTAGAGTTACATATAGGCTGTATTTGCAATGACGTTTTTGTTGCATTTTAACTGGAAGACCTTTAAATGACTTATTTTCTTTAGCATGTGTTTAAGAATTTGTTTGTTTTTAAATTATTTTACTCTTAAACGGTGCTATTCACTATGTTGTATCCACTTAAGCTTTTCTTTTGGTCTGTATCATGTCTCAGTGCTCTAGCAGTTGTCTGTAGCTGTGGTAATCTGCTTTAGTAARATAAACTGGTTAAAAAAAATCTACAGAAGGCACTAGGTCAAGACAGAGCCAGGAAAGTGGGGTCATGGATCAGTCAGCTCGGCTGTGATGAAAACCTGCATCCTCAAGCTGTGGTTATGTGGTCACTTCAGTTGGGGTTAAAGCTGTTCTCTYGGAAGGTTCAATCCTGCTCTTGCTTTCCTTGACTGCTCAGGGCTGACACTGTCTCCTGCGTGGCCTTGCAGAAGGCCACATCAGTGAATGGGTGCAGCTGAAAACTAACTATGAAGTCAGGCTGTTTTTCAGTTGCTTTGGTTTCCTGCATATGTCAGGAGCAAATGTCTGAAAAGGAAAGGGTGTGTTAAGTAGCCCTCTATGCTGTGGTGCAGCGTGTGCTTCAGATTTAAGTCGCCTGCTTTTTGAAGATGCCCTCTTCTTTGGGATTTAGTTCACTGCTGGGTTATCAGTTGTCTTCCACTGTGAATTGCTTCTTAACATTTTTATTTAAAACTTTTTATTTACTGTATGTGCTTGGTGATGGGAAGAGTAGGAGGAAGAAAGTGCCTAACATTGARTTTTCTATTTGCAGCTTCCACATTTGTCCTATTTTCTGTACAGTGTTATAAATCTATTTATAGCAGCTATTTCTAGGTAGGAAAATAAATTGCAATAAAGAAGTCTACCAAGACTCTAGGTATGCTGTTTCATGAAGAATTTAAATTTGGAGTCTGCTTGATCTGCCAGATATTTCTAAACTATGCAAGTGATGTTGTGATGCTGCACTTCACTTTTATGTGCCTTCTGATGTTCTTGAATACCTTTCTAGGATTCCATAATTTAATATCTCTAAAGTATGATTACAGAGAATTTAGCTGATTCCTGTCTCTTTGAAGTAAAAACTATTTATTTACAAAACAGAATTGTTTCATCTTACTGTGATGCTTTGTTATTTTTAAAACCAAATAGAAATTTGTCCGATCTGCTACAAACTCCTTTTATACTCAAATTAACTCTGACAATTTTTCTACTCAACTTATGTGAAGAAAAAAGRAAGGCAAAAATGCCTGCTCTTGATTTAGTGTAGAGAGAATCAAATTTGTCTTTTAAAGCATTTCTGTTGGAAGTTATCCAGTCGTTTTGCGGGGACAGTCTTTTGCAAAGGAAGAACTTTTAAGAATGCCTTTCACTTTCAAGTATTTTTAACTTGCTTGCATTTGGTAGTTCAACTCAAAATCTGCTTTGGGTGTAGAGTCCTTTATAAATAGTAGCTTAATTTTGCCGTAAGTGGTGTTTTTATGCTGCTTTTGCATTGATTGATATATTTGATTGAACGCCCAAGTGCCTTATAAGAAGAAAGTATCAGACATAGGTCTTCTTGTGCYACCAGACTGCCTTTATACTGAACAGTGAAGAAGGATCAGGTGTGAATAGCTTTTGTGTTACCAACTAAATTTGTTGGGTGTTTTCTTCTACTGTTGCAAGGCGACTGCATCTTTGAGTTAAATTGTTTCCATGCTGAAAAATCTTCGTATCTCAGCTCCAGAGGTTTTTAACTCTACAGCTTTTTAGTATTCTGTAAGAATGACAAGATTTTCTAAACTACAAGAGACTTGAGGTTTCTAGAAAGCTTAAAAATTGGAGAAGTGAAAAGGAAATTTTTTAGTAGAAAAAAATCTTTTTACTTTATTGTTTGGGGAGCTACAGTGTGGGCTAACTTACCTTCTGGATACCAAACTTTAGTGCTTGGTTGTGACATTGACTTTCTGACTTGTGTTATTTAAGACTCTGTTATAAGTAAAGGTTGAATAATTAGTTTTGTAGTGGTTAGTCTATGGAAAAACCTTAATTGTAACTGAAATAAAAGTCCATTTTTTTTTTTTTCTGTGGCCCTTCCGGTTATACTCTGTTCTTAAAAGTTGGTTTTACAGACTAATATCCTTGTAATTTGAAGGTCCCATCTACAGGAAAGTAGGCGCAGAAAAGTGTTTTTTTGCCCAAGCTGCTTTCAGCACTTCACTGCTGCAGTACGTTATTGACAGTGCAACAGTTTTGCGACTTTGTTATGACCACACCACTGCAGATGTCAAGCCTACAAAACGAAACTTCAGTTGTCCAAATGAGCTTGACCTCGTGCAGTGTCATGTTAATGCACTTAAGGGGTCAGTGAACTGCAGTAAGAAGATGGAATTGAAGCAAAATTCTATTTTGGCCTTGTGAACAGGGAAGGTCCTTTGGAGTTCATCTGGCCTGAACCTGTTACACAGATAACTCCTTGTTGGTTTTTTTTTTTTTTTTTTCCTTCTTCTGTGGTGTATACAGTAGCTTATTAGGAATTAAAATGAGGTAGTATATAAACTGCTTTAAAATGTGATCTGATGAACTTCCATCTCTGATCAAGTGTGGATTAATGTTGTTGAAAGAGTACATTTTGTCTAGTGAATTTATCTGGCCTTTTGATTTTAAAAATGTTTAAGAAAACAATTATAGGACAGATTAAACTGGTTGAAGAYGGACACCTTTTCTTTGTTTTCAAATATTATATGTGTTTAAGGAAGGACAAGTAATTCTTTTAAAGAAGTTAAGATGTAGGGCTCGATACGTCCCGGCTATTTGGTGGTTGGCAGTTTTGTTAGCATCTCTCTCATTAATCGTGTCCGATTGCAGGGAAAGGTCCTGATGGCAGCYGCACACTGTCCTTGGCTGCCAAGCAACATCTGGCTATGCCTTGCCCATATGAAGGACAACCAGAATGTCAATAGGAGGATTATGGCTGGATGCCTTTTTGATGTGTTGGATGCCCCAGATTCTGACTGTATGATCACAGCTACAGCAGATCACAGTGCGGTTTTGTTCCCTCATTCAGGCGTTTGGTAGTGCATAGAATTTGCTGTTATCTCTATGCCCCTCTACATTCTCTAATTTTTGCATCAGACAAATGCAGCTTTTCTGTTTTAAATCCCAGTGCCGTCAGCTTCATTTGGAAGGATTACAGGAAATAACTTTTGGATGAAGTCTTAATTTTTCTAAATTGTAAATATGACCAAAAAAAGTTCTATGAAAACCATGTAGTAACAGTGACTGGTTCTTTGCTTTGTCGGGAAGCTGACTTGTTTTTTTGAGAGATGTAAGGTTAATTTGCTTGGCAAACAAGTAGGCAACCTAAGTACTATCCTAATCTGAAATACTCATATAAGAAGGGAATGTATGGAAGCTATGCTAGTGTGATACTGCTGCTTAGTACTTGTAACAGGTGCTGCGCACAAAGCTTCTTGTTATTTCTTTTTTGTTCCTACCCAGATCTTTTGCCTGTTGAGGAGAACCTCCTGCAGAAGGGTGGGAGGTAGGTGGTGCCGGGTTACTGGTGCCAGCTGGAATTGGGCATTTGCTACAGGCCTTACTGCTTTGATAGGTTAAGGAATGGTCTGCGAGCCAGTACGCCAAAAGACACAGTTCTTGGGGCTGAATTGCTTCCGTCTTCTTATGTGTTAATAAGAAAGGGAACAGATAGAGCCAGCTAAGGAAAGCTTAGACTTCTGATAAAGCCAGGGCACTGGGATAAAAATGGTTCAGCAGTGTCATGAGATTGGCAAGTATTTGAAGGGGAAGTGGTTTATTCTTGCTGGTTGATTTTTCTGGCTGCATTTTTTCTCTTTGTATTATATAGCTCCTCTGCAGGGGAAAGCTTTCCAGTTGTATCAGTGGATTAAACGTCTTTGGACTCTGAGTGTTTACACGTTGTTGTCTTGCTTCCTGATGTTATTTCCGATTTCTTTTTTCTCTTTGCTATGTGGGCAATTGAAGATGGGCAACTTGACAAATTCGTGAAAGGACATTTTTTTCCATTGGAAGCATAGGAGATTTCTATTGTTTTYTTTGACAGTGACTTTACCTTTTCAAAATTCATTACTGTGTGAAATGTAGAAACCCATTCACTTTCAATATGGGTTAAAGCTGAGCAGTAATGCAGTGAAATAGAAAGTGTGAGTTTTTTTGAGGGGGGAGAGCAAGCTGGCTTTTATAGGGTTGTGTGTGTTTGTTTTTTCATAAAAAGCTCTGTTCTGTTATCCAGCTGACTCTTGTGTTAGTCCTTATTCTTGAAGTGATGGCTTGGTGTTCACTCTTCTGTTTATTTTTAAAGCATTTTGTTCATTCGTAGCTGGTAAGGTGCTTAAAAGTTCAAAACTGCAATTTTTGCTTTCACCACTGCCCGCTTAGCTTTGTGTTTAGCTCTGAGCGCGGCTTGTTTCACGGTAGTGAAACTGCTTGGATTGTAAACGCRAGGCGGTAACGCGAGGGAGGGAGGAGCCCTCTGCTCTGCTTAGTAATTTTCATCAGATAAGGTAGAAGAGTTTGCGGATAGGCTTAGGTGGCTTTCTGGTGAGCAAACCGGAGCATTTCTGCAAGTATGTTTTGGATATGCACCATTTGCCTCTAGGCACTTGCTCAGCGAAGGAAGTATCCGAGACAGAGCTGCTCTGGAGCAATCTTTTTGCCGGCACAGGTGTGCCCAGCTGCTTAGCACGGAGCCTGGGTCCTTCTCAGGTTAATATGTGAACTTTGCTCACCACGACATTTTCCTTCCTCCTAAATAAAAAAAAATAAGAGCAACACTGGGTGTGTTCGAGCAAATATGTCCTTGGAAGGGGTAAGCTTACTTCATTTTCTGTATGTTTCTAAAATCAAATATTGCAAACTAACTCTTGAGGTTCAAGGCAATAAGCATGGATTAA